TATAATAATTTTGATATTTGTAGATATGAAATTAAAGTAATAAAATTTAAGTTTATATTTATATTAGTATGTATATTTTATTTTAATTAATAAAATTAGTATACGATGCTATTTACTCCCATTGATACAAAAATTACAATAATACTAATTTAACACATGGTCCATGGAAATTATACAAAAAAATTCCAATAATAATTAAATCTATGGCATATGCAGCCAAAAGTGGGCATTGAAATCAAAACAAGAAAAAGAAAAAAAATTCTAGCACAAAATCCACCGTGGCTTGTAATGCCACTTTCACTAGATGAAAGTTCCCATTTTTGCAATTGCCACTCACATGGGTGCAATGGGCAATTGAAATTGCAAGCTTGGGCCACGTAGGAATGCAAGTGGGGAGAGTCAAACCGTTGGAGATGCTCTTACATATTGCTCCATTCTTGTTGACTGGTTGATAACTGTCACTTTTATGGACCCCTTCTCCCATCATGATGATTAGTTGATTTCGTCTTGGTAACTCTGACGACGGACCAAATTACTATTGAGCTGAACTTCAATCAACCCTTGTTGAAGCCCCCTAGCCTTGCATCTAGGATAAAATCTGGATCGCACCTTCAATGCTCTCAACGATTTCATATTCATCCTCCTAGGGGTCGTTTGGAAGTTGCGAACGTTAAATCGTTGTATTATAATGAATCTCTATAATATAAATACATGTATTGATACAATGGATGCATTTTAACAATACATTGTTTGGTTGTTGAGATTCTATTTTATGTATTGATTTGTATAAAGTTACTTTATGGGAAAATGTCACAATTACCCTCAACTTTTAATACAAGACAAAAACTATTAAGGATATTAATGTAAATAAAAAGTGGACACAAATCGAAAACCAACAATCACAACAATCTCAACTAAAAGTTGAGATTGTATAATGCATCATTTTTTGTGATTTTTTTTTATCGAAACCTGCACTCAGCTTTTATTGATGAACAAAAGAAGATACATCGTCAATGTGAAGCTGATCAAGCAGATTTAGCGGTGGCCTCTCGAACCAAACTTCCGCTACATTCCATCGAGTTCTCGTATGCGCCATAATATGTGTCGCCTCATTTGCTCTTCTACTCGCATGCCTTATTTGTCCCCCACTAGTCTCATCGAGGAGTCGCCGGATATGTCTACACACCACTCCAAGCTCCGTCTGAATTTTCGATGCCGAATTCACATGATTAACCACGACAAGGCAGTCCGACTCGAGGACTGGGGAGCCTAACCATCATTTTTTGTGATTGTTGGTGGGATCTACCTAAAACAATGCATACATTGTTTTACACTTTGACACTTCCAAACATTGTATTGTGCACAATACATATATTCAATAAACACAACTCTAACAATTACAACTTCCAAACTGACCCCTAATTGCTTTTCTTGCTAACTACCTCCTCGACCACCTTGAAGAAGTATGGTTCGCAGGTTCGGTGATCGGTGATGCAGTAACTTGTTGGGCCACTGGGCCAGTGATTTAAAATCGGGACATTGATTGTGCGCAAGATTGAAGGTGGCCTAAGCCTTCGTTGACGCATTGACTAAAAGTAGAATGGGGTATTGGGCCATGGAATTGGATCCACGATATATTCTGTACCCCTCTGGCCTGCATTCATCGTGATCCAACAATTGGAACTAGTCCACTGGCGGACTGGCCCGTACCGTTGGCCACTTGAAAAATATTATTAATCGTAAGCTCTGATTTTTTCCCCACAAATGATGAATATTTGTAAAGAAATGGTTAAGTATCATATATAGGTCTCGACCAACAACTCGAGTTGTTGGGATCAGTTGGTTTATGACATGATAATAGAGTCTTGTTTGTCCATGAGGTCACGTGTTCAAGTCCTCACGATCCCCAATATTAACATTTGTCTTCAACCACATAGTATGACGGGTCTGTGCATACTTCAAGCCCATGAGTGGGCTTTCATTTGAAGAGATGTGTATGGTGTAGAATCAAATAAGGTGGTGTGATTAAAAAAGGGGCTAATTGCACCGTTGGTCACCGAGATTACAAAAAACGTTCATGTTTGGTCACTAGAAATATTTAAATCATTTGTGGTACCCAACTTTACAAAAACGTTCACTTATGGTCACTCTCCGTTAGCTACCGTCCAACGCCATTAACAGCGTCCGTTAAGTAATGACGTGGCTCACGGATTCGCCTAATCATCACTTTTTAACCCGAAAATAGGCTGACCCGACCCGCCACGTCATTTAAACCCGCCAGCTCATCTAAACCTAACCAAGGAAGAATAAACCATGCCACCACCATCTCCCACTTACACCCTCACTGCCTCCTCAATCTCCTACTCCAAACAAACCTCCGCCACCGCCGCCGCCGCCGCCACGTCATTCCTCTCCTTCCTCAACCCTTCTTCCACCACAACCACCACCACCACCATACTCAACCAAGTCACATTCACCGCCTACCCGGCCGAGATCCTCGCCGTCGTCGGCCCATCGGGCGCCGGAAAGTCCACCCTCCTTGACATCCTCGCCGCCCGGACATCCCCCACCGCCGGCTCCCTCCTCCTCAACTCCACCCCAATCACCAACTCCTCCTCCTTTCGCAAGCTCTTCGCTTACCTCCCTCAACATGATGCATTCCTCCCCCTCCTCACCGTCGTCGAAACCTTCGCCTTCTCCACCTGCCTCCTCTCCTCCACCTCCACTTCCTCTATCGCCGCTGTTCACCGTGACCTTTTGCTTTCGCCCCTTTCGTGCATTTCAAATTAGGTTAGGGTTTTGGTGCAGAAATTGCATTTGGGAATTTGGAGATTAGGTATTATCTTGCTCTTGCAAAATGAGATTTGTAAGGGATGAAGCAAGGGAATCCTTGAACACAAACCTTTTCCACTCGTGGAGATCAGGTATTATATTGCAAAATGAGATTTGTTCGAAGGCGACACGGGATGGAGAAGGGGAACGTGCTGAAGGGTTTTAGAAATTATGTTTTGTTTAGTGGCGGGTGGGTAGTTTAGTTGGTGGATCGGGTCGGGTCTGATTTGGTTAGAGAGTTGGTTAGGTTTAGATGAATTTGCGGGTTTAAATGACGTGCGGGTCGGGTCATCTTATTTTCGGGTTAAAAAGTGCTGATTAGGAGAATCCGTCAGTCACGTCATCACTTAACGGACGCTATTAACGGCGTTGGACAGCAACTAACGGAGAGTGACCATAAGTGAGCGGTTTTTGTATAGTTAGGTACCACAAATGGATTTAAATATTTCTAGTGACCAAACATGAACGTTTTTTGTAATCTTAGTGACCAACGGTGCAATTAACCCATTAAAAAAGGAAAGAAAAAACGGAACCATATCTTCTTTCATTTGAAGGGATGTGTATGGTGTAGAATAAATAAGGTGGTGTGATTAAAAAAGGAAAGAAAAAACGGAACCATAGGTTTAAACTTTAAACTGTTCAAGTTAATGAGTTTCAGATATTTTGTTGTATGGAGCCTATAAATAGACTTAAGTTGTAGCCGAGTTGTAGCCCATAGGGGTGTTCAAATGGTTACCATGGTAATAACCAAACCAAATAAGTCTAAATTCTATTAACCATGGAATACAATATCATAACCGAACCGTCCAAACTAATATAACAACCAAATTAACCAAACTATAGTTTATTCGGTTTGGTTAATTGGTTAACCAAAATAACCAATATAACACCACATTATCATTAAGTGAGAAAAAATTTCAGTTAGTGCATCAATTCGCAATTTATATAATGAACAACACATAACAATCCACATAATTGTAGTTAACCCTTAACCTAAATACATGTAACAAATACAATTATCTTACATTTGACTCTTGAGTGGTTATGCAAAGTATTAAGTATGTGTATATAATATATATTAGATATATGGCTAATTACTTAACTGGTTAATTTGGTTTGATTGGTTAGGAGTGCCTGAAACCAAACCAAACCACCTAAACCAAACAAGCTAAATTTTTTAACCAAACCAAACCAATTATCGAAATTAACCAAACCAAATTAGCCAAATACTACTGGTTAAAATGGTTATCACGGTAACCACACCGTTTGAACACCCTACTAGCCCACCATAGCAATTTCACAAGTCTTTTTTATTATAACCAAACCCACCAAATATAAATATATAGGGAAATAATTATTTTATTTCCAACACTTACTTCTTACTTAGTTACGATATTGGAGCACTTCTACTATGCTATATAGTATTGGTGCTTTAATGTACAACTTGAAGTTGTACCATAACATTAAATGTATAAGTTTAGGTTGTACCATATTGTATCATTAAGTTATGGTATAATTTTACAACTTGAAGTTGTACCAGGGGCGGACCCAGGGGGTTTAGGGGTGTCCCCGGACACCCCTAAATTTTGGGAAAACGATTATCCAACACTACAAAATTGGTAGGTTTAGGAGACGAAATTTTTTGTCTCCGAAACATGGATTTTTCGTCTCCAAAAGATTTAGAGACGACAAATGTCGTCCCCACGAGTGGTGCCTATAGGTTCCGTCCTCTATTCTTGTGGAGACAAAAAAATGAAAGTTGTCCCCAATACTAGGAACGCATAGTCGTCCCCAAAAATACACGTAACCGAATCAATATGTCGTCTCCATTTCTTTAAACTAAGGACAACATATCGTCCTCCAAGCAAATGATTTTCAAGACGAAAAGTCATTCTCTAATAGCTTCTCTAATAGCTAACTTCTATGACTGTAAATCGTCCCCAATGTAGTATTTTAGGAGACCATTCCCTAAGAACTAATTTCTAGAGTAGTAAGTCATCACCTCTTTCCAAGACAAAGAGTCATCATCTAAGCTATTTTTGGAGATCATACGTCGTCATTTAATATTCTTTATCAAGTGTCATCCACTACATAGTACAAGAATCGCAATGAAAATGATGAAATAAGAGCATACATATATTTTCATTAATATGAATATTATAAACTATCCCAGTACATTTCTTACAAAGTGTTAAAATGAAAGATCAGTGATGAATGACATCTAAGTTGACAGTACCACATAATTAATAACATTAATATGTTTCTGATGAAACTCTGTTGCATAAAACCCAACTTGAATTTGTAAGTCATATTTCCTTCTTTGACGAGCCTGCAAAATCGAGATCAAAATGCAAAAAAAAAAAAAAAAAATCGAGATCGATTAGTTGTAGGTTAACTAGAGGGAATGTTAAAGCAGATGCTAGCTAGTTCTTATACCAGTCTACTCAAGCTACTATGTACGTGGACGTTCAGCCGGTGAATACCATGATCATAACCCAGAAGTGAGAATAGAATCATATACTGTACACCAATATTATAGAGGGATTCAACTAACATAATTCACATGATGGTTTCACTCTACCTGAAGAAATGCTTTGGCCGTTCGGCTGTTCTTTTGGTTGGACCAAGCTTTCTTCTTCAGCATGACTAGGATTGATTTGTAAGCCATGTTTCAAGCTTGTTATGCCTACAAAATCAAAGTTAACATTCTTGCAACTTTGATCAAACCTCCTTACATTAATTGAATTCTAAGAATAGACTAAGTATGTATACGAGGCAAATTTTCTAAAACAGAGGAATTGGGAATTCTCTACATTCAGAATCTTCTCTTTTTAAGCCCTAGAGGATGGACCTGACCATACCACTAGAACTACAAAAATTGATTACAAATCATATAAACAATATCAAACTTATAACCATAATTATGCTCTGGTATCATTAGAACGTGAGATAAGAAAAGGGCACACAAATAAAAAGGGAGAATCGACGTAACAACAAAAATTGAAGTAGCAAACCTGAACGATTCACGAGATGTCGAATAGGGTTTGAGTCCCTTAAAGGAACGAGTAATCATGACATACTGGTAGATCCGTATATGAAGACTAACGATGAACTGTGGAGAGCTTGGTTGATTAAGGAGGAACGAACGATTGAATCAGTGACTCCGTGAGAGACTGCGGAATGGAAGTCTTCAACATAGTTTGCGAAGGATGAAAGATGAGGAGCCAATCGACTTTTTTTCCATTTCTTCTAGACTGTAGTAGAACGACGAGGAAGAGATCGAGATTGGGGGTTGATTTCGGGAAGAAAATTCTCAATTCTGGGATTGAGATTTGCACACATTGGGGTTTAGGGTTTGCAGAAGGAAGAGATCGAGATGATCACTTAAACTAACTTCAATCAATAAAATATATAAGATAATTAAAAAACCTAGAGCGCAAAATGCTTCCAAACTTCTTTGGGAACGATTTTATATATATTTAAAATAATTAGAAATTACATCAAATTCTTTAGGGACAATATTATTTGCTTGTCCCTAATGTAGCTAAATATTCTATTTGTGAAGACAAATTAAATCAGTCGTCTCCCATATTCGTCCCTTATACTTTCTTATTTTGTAGTGCAACCCCCGGTGGTAATTTACGTATGGACAAAAAAAATATAATTGATAGTGAGGGACACCCCTTAAATTTGAAAAAATGATTATCCTACTGTCATTTGTGTATAGGAATATAAGTGGTAGGTTGGATAATTCAAATCTAGAACACTATTATTATTAATAAACTTAATTTCTGTTGAGCTAAACTCATTTGTTGATCATTTTTTAACAATGTGTAATAGTAAAATGGCATTCCCTATCTCTAATTATTTTAAAAACCTAACAATTAAACTAATTTCAAACTACCCTTAATTTGTATTGATTTTATGATTGTACGGCAAGTGTTGAAACAGTCTTTCAGCTTTGGGTTACATCAAGAACAAGTTTACAAATCGAATATGCGATAAGTTCATGAATGATTGTCTAGCAGTGTATATAGAGACAATTTTTTTAACACTATAGACATCAAGTGTATTCTACAATTATTTCCGAATATGAAAACATATCATGGACTTTTTTAATCTATACGAGTAAGGTATTTTCATATTTACAATTTTATTTTTATTAATTATTTTTATTTTTATTTTTATTTAATTTATTTTTTAAAAGATGACACCCCTATGAAAAATTTCTGGGTCCGCCACTGAGTTGTACCATCACATAAAGGTATAAGTTCAAGTTGTACCATAAAAGAATTTATACAAAAAATATAGGTACAATCTGAAGTTGTACCATAACGTAAAGATACAATTTCAATCTGTATCATAAGAACAAAAAACTATAACACCAATACTATATAGTATTGTAAAATTTCTCACTGTTTCTAATAAGATTAAACAATTCTCAACCGTGTCCGTGACTGACTTCCCAACGAGCTTGGAAATTCTGTCCCACGGTCGGAACAACCCATCATCCTGATGATTATGCAGTCCCAGGTACAATGTATTCATCTAGCAAAAACCATGCACACCGTTTTTTGCTCTGCTCTGTTGCCTCATTGTGGAACTTGAAACAGAAAGCTCCAACGACGTGGGGAAATGGACTCACTTGAGCATAAACAAAGACCATGTTATAAATGCGCTGCTATGTATGGATCGAGAAATTGCCGGAATCGAGAAAGTAAGAATACGAAAGTGAGAATCGAAAACACGACACACGATTTACGTGGTTCACTAACACGATGTGTGTTAGCTAGTCCACGAGCGAGAGAGAGCCAGTTTCACTATATCGAGGAGATTACAGATTACAGAGGAGATGAGAAGTATTTATACTTCTCCATGTGGGTCTAAACCTAATCCAATTTGACAAAGGAAACGGTTACAGACCAGAACCAAAATCTAAACCCAAATAACATTGAGCCCATACACCTTGGGTGATAGTCCGATTCAAGTCATATCAACACCCCGATTACCCTAATAACTACCCTCTCTTTGCTTTTCTGCCGACAGCCACTAGTAGCAAAATTCTTCGCGGCATGCATGCCTATTCAAAATTAAGAACAAACACGTAGAAAGCAAATATTTTGATCCTCTCCAATGTAGAGATTTGGTTCCTCATCCCCATATGTTTATATATGCCTTTTGACTTTGTGTTTGTGTCCCTCTTTGTTGGTTCATTGAATCGCTTTGATCTAGCTATATATGAGTAACTGATGAGGCAATGATATGCATATGTATACTCTTACGATGTGTTTTTAAAGTTTGTGCGCATACAAATGGTTAGTACCCTTGTGGGAATTTGAGAATTTATTATTTAAGGTGAGAGGCAATAAAATTTCGATGGACCAATTTGATCTGTAGAATTTTGAATTGATTCATTCTGAGTTAAATCTGATTGTCTGGGGATTGGGAGACGGGGCAGGTTGTTCAAATTGACTCGTTAGAAATGTCTCGTTTATATAAAATGAGACAATTGGTCTCGTTTCTAAGTTGTTCCGACCAAACGACCCACTAACTTACTATTAGAAGTCACTGTTTCCTTCCTTACAGATAGGAATGGTAATGAGTCAGGTTTCTCTAAACCCATACCCTACCTAGCGGATGCACCCATAAAAACCCGGTAAAATACACACTGGGTTTTAGAAGAGCAAACCCAACCCAACCAAAGAGGTACCCATGGGTGCACGAATAGAACTATACATTATTTTTTCGAACACACATCGTAGTATCATTAAAACTTTCCCTACTAATATATCTCTATAAATATTAGTCACATTCATAAATTATCTTTATATTATAATAAGTACTAATAACATAACAAAATTATTCAATTTTTTCAAGTTAGATACAAAATGACGCCATTGTGGTGTTGTGTAGGATTGGGTCTTACTCGCTTTGACCGTGTTGCATCGGATTGGGCACCCATAAGTCCGAGGTCAACTGTCATTCCTACTTACTAGTCTCCTAATAACCATGACTCTAACCTCAATACTGGAATACACCGTGTAACTCAATTTGGGTACTCCTAGTCCTTGCAACTGATTCATTGAACCTTTTCTTTGAGCATTCTTGTCTGCAAATCTAACCAAATCCAAACGGTCGCTTAGTTAGGCCCGTGGCCCGGGGAGCAAAGAGCGATGTCTCAGGAGAAATGAACAATGAATAAAGAATTCACTAACGTAACAAGCCAAAACTTCAGCCATATGTTGTTATCAAACGACTGCGATAGCTGAAGACAGTAGAAAAAAAAGAATATGGTGTCAAAAGTTGAGTCCAAATCTGATAAAGATGTGGATGGTGTGGTAGCTCGAGGAGCGAAAGGGATTGCTTTGCTTCATCTCTGGGCTTTACCTCCATTGATGGTAATGTTATGATCACTGTGATTTTGAGACTTCTAGGGCAGAGCAACATCCAAATTGAAAGCTCTTGCTCGTTTTTGTTTCTTCAAGGGTGGGGGACCGTGGGCCTCTGGGTATAGCTTTGCATTATCAGGGTTCCAAGGGGAGAAAAGGATGATTTGTTGAGTTAATGTAAGGTCATGACACATCATAACCCATTAATATTGAGGTTGTTTCATAAATTTAAGAAAAAGAGAAAGGGAGGGGTAGACAAAAGTGAGAGTGGAAAGTGATGTGATAAGTTTTGTTATGTTAGACAAATCGATATGATATGGTAAAGCAACGAACACGCGGTAAGATTAAGTGGTTCGGTTTTGAATAACTTTACGTTTATGAGTGGTGCGATTGTTGATATTCTTCGGTGATCATCCTATACAGCTGACAACGGCGGCATGTATACACGTACGAGGAAGAGATGAAGAAGGTGTAGGCCCTCTAACCCTACAATCAGGGACGGAGACACCATGTAATTAGGGTGTTCCATGACACACCCTTGGATTGGAACTACAACATCAAAAAATAGGGGTATTAGTTTATACTATAGCTAGGATTTGAACATGGAACCCTCTTTTTATTAGCTTTGGCATTTTCTATTAAACTACATTTTATAGTGTATATATATATATAATTTACCATTTACGTACAAATAATAAGTAAATTAAATTAAAAATTCATAATTGCATGCTTATTCAAGCAGTAATCGGAACTTTTCATGTAGGGAGTCAAACTCCCATATTCATTTTCCAGTAGTCTTGGGGCGTCTGAGCCCCTCTTCCTACAAAAAAAAAAAAAAAAAGTAATCTGAACTTTAGCCATAACAAGCAAGACTTCTCACAGTCCCACCCTAAAGTTAGCATTGCTGCTACCAGTCGTCACTGCAAGTGTTGAAAGAGTATTTTCGGAAATGAACTACGTGAAGAAAACACTTCCGAGTCGAATGAGTGATGATATCATGAATGATTTTTTGGTATGATGCATTGAGAGTGACATTCTTGATAGGCTGGATGATGAATGTATTTTAGAGACTTTTCAAAATATGAGAACCCGTCGTGGATCACTATAAAAAATTGATAGTTATTTTAATTTTTGTAAGTTGGCACCCCCTTACCTAAAATGCTGCCTACAATTAAAAGGCTTACGAGACAGATGGGCATAGGGTTTAACTCGCTCGACAGAGTCGTATCTCGAGTTCGCGCATTTGTTCGAGACTTAAAAATCGAGTTTCAGGTTAAATTGGTTTTTGGAAGATTTGAGAGTAAGGTTATAGGCCATGTATCAAGGAGGGTGCCAACAATTCATGGCTAAAAACCTTGCTACCTCATCCTAATTAACACCACACATTACACAATAGAATCATGTTGGGTGGTCATTTTGTTGCAAACGGACGAAAGGAAGAGTTCATTGGATTACAAATGCACAGCCAAGAATCCAAGACCACTACTTGCTTCTCCAATGGTGACGTTTTGGACTTTGTTTGCAAAGAAAGAAATCGCCATTATGGCGATTGGACCAACGAAGAGGCATGCTTAAAGACCAGGACCTTTCCTTAGAAACCACGGATATGCAGTGGCAGCTGCAGAAAAAAAACAGAGCCTCTCTGCCTCTCAACTCAACTCCATCAACCAACGGAGAGAGAGAGGGAGAGATTTGATGGGTATTGATATCTTTACTTCACCGACTTGATGGGGTTTTTCCAGTCTGCCTTCCATCATCAATGGTGCAGAGGAAAAATGGTAGCTTTACTTACTTTCATACTGCTTTTCTGTTTTTGTCTTTTGGAGAGAAAAAGGGAAAGAAGACAAAGTTAGCTCCCATGGGTAGCACCATGGTTAATATGAGATATTGCTTTTGGGAAAGGCTCTTTGGATGGAGGAAGAAAGGAGGGAAGGAGGCTTCCTCTTGAATCAACTCGAGACTATTGTTAGGCTCTGAGTTCCCACAAGAAAAAAAGAAGAGGAGCCATTTTTGTTTAAGGTCAGCTGTGTGGCAAACGTGACAATGGATGGTGTGGAGTAATTTTTACATCGGTTGTGGAAGCCACGTCGATGGTTGACTTCGTTGTCTTTGAAGTTTGTTAGTCTTGAATAGTGCGGTTTGTCATTCTAGTCCATGGGAGGAGATGATGAGTAACGATGATGATCGTGCTCACGATGTTAGACCGTTTAAAAAAAAAACATAAACGATGGTGATTTTTGTTTTGATTCGGACTATGTCTAATGATATATGATGATTTGCTTTAAAAAGTTTGATGAGAACTATACACGAATTGAAATATGTTATCATATATTGTGTTATTGTCTGTTTGGAGAAAGTGAGACTCCTTTTGTGGTTATGATATCAGAGAGTTTTGGTTTCCGTAAGTTACTTGCACTAACAAAGAAAGATTTACGCTTGAATCTCACGAATTTTTTTTACCTGAATGAAGTCTAGTTTGGTAAACTGCATAATCACCCCCAACAATTTTGATATCAACAAAGTTTACTTGACCTATGTTAGAAGGCTCATGTGAGAACCCACATAGTCTAATGGAAAAAAAAGAAGAAAATCACCATGTAAGAAATAAGTTCTTAGGGTCGGTAGGTTAAACATTTTCATCTTGCTAGAAAAGATCGTGAGATCTCTTTTGACATACAACCATTCGATTTGAGCAACCCGTTACGAAATCATGTAAACTACCATGAATCGGTTCATCAATGGATGAATTAGAACTTTTTTTCCCAACCACCAGTTGTTAGAGTGACATAAGCAAAAGACCACTATTTTGAGACAAAATGGTGGACTGGTATGCTACTCCATTAGGCCGTGGAAGATAAGAACAAAAAGTACCACACAGAAACTTTGAATTCTGAATTACGTTAGCAAAAGCCATTGGTGGAGTTGGAGTCATATCATTTGAACAAAGGAATTACACAGAACACAGACTTGCCCGCCCAATCCAGCAAGAAATTTCTTCATCATCATTCATCCCAAGCTTTGACGAAACGAAAAGGAAAGAACCCACCAGGCTCTGCCCTGTAGCTCCTCCTTCTACAGTATTTTCCTAAACCGTGTTATCATCGTTAAGCACATGTTAACAACGTTGGATTGCGTCGAAGTAAAATTCAAAAACTCACGTAATCTCATGATGTCATTATCGTGTATACAACACCTCATTCATCTCCTTGACCGAACTCGAGCTCTGTTCTACGGCCATTGGTAAATAATAATTTACCCTACAGTGGCAACCAACAGTTTCTTTTTACTTAATAGACAGACAAACAACTGCTACTACTGCTTTTGGTTTTGGATTTTGATTACATTTCCCCTACAGTCTGCAATCATCATCATCATCCCTTCCTTCCATGGATGGACGATGGATTCATCCTACAACAATGCATCCAAAAAGAAACCAACCCTAGAAACCACGAAACTAATCTACCTGTTTCATCTCCCTATCTCTCCTTTGCTTAGCTTTACAACAAGAACCCAAAAAAAGAAAACAAACAAGGAAGAAAACAGAGTCCTCTGTTTTTCTCTTGTCCTGTTTTGTATGGTCTTTTTTTCAAATTTTCGATTTCAGGGGAAGTTCAAAGTCTCCCGCTTTCCTCCTACTGTCTTCACTAATTTCCCAATCAGAACTCGTCGCTGGAAACTCTGGGAGAGTCCATCAACCGGTCGCTTGCGAATCGTGATAACAGAGACGAATCTGTAACAAGAAATCAAAAAATTGTTATGTAACAGGGAAAGAATGAAGAAAGAACAGGGGACGAATCTGAAAGGAAAAAGATGGTTTCTTTTTTTTACCTCTAGAAGAGTTGAAAGATCTCTTGCAGTGAAGAATGGCGCTCTGGATCCCGTCATTTTGCAGTAGAAGGGAGTCATCTCTCCGCTGCACGGTGGCCGGAGGTGAAACCCCGGTGCCGGAAGAGGCTGATTTGCTCTTCCTAAGATGCTTGCAGACCTCTCGGATCCCTGACGGGAAACTCCCCTGTTTCTCCTTCTTTGGGGAGCTGGCAGGCGCCGTCGCAGCCGGCGACGCCGACGGTGACGAGAGCTCTCCTGGAAACTTCATCTTGTCGCCTTCCTTCTTAGCGACCTTGATGTAGAGCGGATTGATGAGCTTCAAGTACTTCTGCACGGTTTCCTTAGGGAACCGCCTCGAGGAATCTTCGGACGACGCTTCGTCCAAGATCTGCTTCCGCAAGCTGTTGTTCCTCCCCAATTTCGAGCCGCCATTGTTACCCATCTCGTCGAGCTTCACTTTCACTGTGACGAACCGCTTTTTCCCCGGCTTCTCCTCCTGATTCAACCCCTTACCCTGTTTCTCCCCTGATTTCTGAACAGGCATCGAATTGGACTTTTTGAACATGAGGACCCGAAATTTGGGACCCGATTTCAGGATGGAAATCGGCGACTGGTGAGGCTTGGGAGAGGAGACGGGTTCGATTGGGAGTATCTTCCGCTTTGAAAACAGAGGCTCGGCAGCAGGAGGAGGGGACTGATGTTGAGACTTGGGCTCGGCTTTGTCGGCCAATTTATTGGGGCTTTTACTTCTGTCGCCATTAATGCTCCTTGGGTAGTCAAAATCAGGAGGAACAGTGAGCTCCAATTCAAAGAAAGAGTCTTCTTCCTCTTCTTCTTCGGAATCATCATAAGCTTCGCCATTATCCGACCTCGCATTCACACAATCGACCTGGGTTTGCGATTTCAGGTGGGTGGTGGTGGGTCTCAGTAGCCTGAGAAAGTGGAGGACGTCCATTTTCAACGAACGGAAAAAGGGAACAGAGCAAGAGAGAGAGAGAGAGAGAGAGGAATGGAAATGAAGGTTGGGTTTGGTTTCTGGTTGTAGGGTTTTTTCAGGGGGGAAAGGGGTATTTATATAGAGGAGTGAAAATGTGAAATGGAGAAGGAAGGCCGCAAGGGAAGAAGAAAGAAAAGGGAACTAACGTGGAGAGGGAGAGAAGAGAAAGAGAGCTTTTGCACTTCGTTTGAGGGTCTTCCTTGCTGGAACTGTGTATTGAAAATGGTGATTCAATGGCAGAGAAAGAAAGAGAGGAGGGGGAAAAGCCAGAGGACGACTAGCGATTTAAAGCTTTTTCACTCTGCTTTTTTCTGCAAAGCTAGACTGTGTGTATCAGAGAGAGTGAGAGATGGGGTGAATGATCATCAAACGGGAGGGAGAACGGTGGTTTTAAGTTTGGGGTTTTGGAGCTTTTTGTATGCTTATGAATTGTACTTTGGCTTATTTTTGTACTTGGTTAATCAGACAAGTTGGCACTTGAAATTTTTCCATTAAACTTGATCGAACAATATACTTTTCACTCTCAATCATTGTTCATCCGTCCGTTGTTTGATCCATCCCGTCCTCTGTATTTTCCACGTGTTCACTCTTGATTATCGAATCAAAAAGACGACGTTATTTGTAAAAATAACATCAAGAGGAGTCTGCTTATGATATTGACTCGTTGAATATTTCACGGACGGATTCTCCAAAGGCTATTGACTCGATACTCTATTCCTTCGTTGATCGAAACGGAATACAACGCACACGTTGAATGTGTGATACGATTCTTCGATCACTAAATGCTTGTTAGTGCAGTCGCCAATTTTAGTTTGACCGGTTGAGAGAAAGAGATGAAGAATCGAGAGAACCGTGGTTTAATGGGTGTTAAACTTAATTGTCTTTTGTTAAAGTTAGTTCGATTTTGGATTCAAACTTAGTCAAACCAGTAACAATTAGTCAGGTTTTGGTTAAGACTACATACGAAACGAGCCGTTTTCGGTTTATATACTCGCGAAAATCGAAACAAAAAACATTATTAGTATGTTCTAGAGTAATCGTATTGAACCATTTGCCACCCTTAGTCCTTGGCTCTGCCTAAGCTATTAGCACAAGAACAAAGATTCAAAATTTCTGGCGTCATATATACATAGATTATTTATCATTTGTTGATTCCTTGCAGAGAGACAGGTTGCTGTTCTTGTAGCGTAGACTGTGCCATAACCATAACACCTATTCCTTACAAAAAAAATATAGGGTAAATGACACATTTGGTCACTGAGATTACTAAATCGTGTCATATTTAGTCACTAGAAAAATTTAATATCAATTTTGGTCACTCGAATTACTGACACAGGTCACATTTGGTCACTCTTCTGTAGCCTCTGTCCAACTCCGGTCACTCGAATTATTGAAAAATGTCACATTTAGTCACTCGTATTACTGAAACATGTCACATTTAGTCACTCTCCCAAAAGTTTCCGTCCAACTACATTAATGGAGTTGGACGGAAACTGACGGGAGAGTGACTAAATTTGACCAGTTTCGGTAATTCGAGTGACCAAAATTGATATTAATTTTTTCTAGTGACTAAATATGACACAATTTAATAATCTCAATGACCAAATGTGTCATTTACCCAAAAAATATATATATAAATTTCTCAGGTCTGGTCCGTGTACTGCAGAGAAAGTACAGAGCACGGCAGAGGGCAGTCTCACACTTCATTTTCACATTTGGATTTTTCCAATTTCCAGTCGTTGGGTTGGACCATAATGAAAGAAGTTTCGTAGTCTGTCTGCTACTCTGCTACAGATCTAGACAGTTTAGGGTTTTTTGAATGACTACGGTGGTTCAATCTTTTTAATCCTAAACGCAAGTCACCAGCTTAGGGATGACAACCCTGCCCGACCCGTCGGGTACCCATCAGAAACTCGTCCAGACGGGGTCAAAAAAATCGTCCATCGTTGGTAATGGGCGGATTCGGGTATGTCCAAAACCTGATAGTAGCGGGCAACGAGTGGGGATGGATCTCGTAGTATCCGCTCCGTCCCCGTATTTCCCCAAAACGACGTCGTTTTCATTAAAGCAACTTATCCCATCTAAAAACCCTCCAAGCCAAACTTCCCTTCACACGCGCAGAAGAAAGCATTGGGGGATCCCTGTTCCGCCGCAATCCCTAATCACCCATCGCCCAATTCCACCGTCAACGAAAAATCCCCTCCTTCTTCCTAATATAGCGATCGTCGGCCTTCAGCTTTGCTCTGAAAGTTGCTACACCACCAACCCTGCTCTTCACCAAACTCAGCGGCAAGAGGACCTGTGTATTCGAGGGCAACGGGGGAGCTAAGTTCTCTGTACGTCGTCGGCAACAGTTTTCCGTAAGGTCCTCCCAAACTTCCTCTCAATAGTGGGCGCTGACCGTGGGGATCCGTAGTGTTGATGTGACTTGAATCGGACTATCAGCCGTTACGACGGGATTAGTCGGGGGTCTCGCTGCTAAGCCAGACGATGACGGTAGTCAATCTATCCCCGTTTAATCATCGAGAACGGGAATGGCGAAAACCGCCGAGATTGATAGACGAGGATCGGGAGGCTTGTACCCGTCCCCGATCCGCCACGTTGCCATCCCTACACTAGCTAGCTGCTAAGCCATCTATTGCCCTATATCACCAATTACCTTGATCGTTTGGGTTAATTCCAATTGGGTCCTTGGTTCAGTTAAAATTTTACATTCTGGTCACAATCCCAAAGGTCACACCAAAGTCCAAAAGGTCGTCACATTTTCTGCTGTTTGCTTGCACACAACATCCCATGTTTTAGATGCTATAAACAGTTGACAAGCTATGTGTTCCTTAGTTCTGATGAGAAACATATAGTTATTTATTTCCTTTGGTCAAAACAATTATTTCCCACTTAGTAATTATATTCAGCATCCCATGTTTATCTAACAATCAAGTTTACAAGAGGTCCCCCCCAAGAATAATGTTGATCCAACAAAACATCAAGGGGATGGCTCAGGTGATGAGGAGTTGTGGTGACAATGTGTAATGTTGTGTTGTATTATCAACATTACAATTATGGCATATCCTTGTCATTGGTCACTTACAAGATTTTAATGATCGTTGATAGTTTCGTTTTCTCTCTTGGTTTGTTATGTAGATTACGGAAGAACAATACTAATCCAACAAACCATTTATATTGACGTCTTCAGAACAGGTGGTAAGACGTGGTGCCGACACGATGCACGTTCTTGTGTTTTATTATTCCAATTCACAATTCTGAAAGAAAACAATCATTATTTGTGAACACTAATAACGAAACGTATACTTGAATAGTTCATTTTCTCTCAGGAATACGTTAAGCAAATACATAATAACAAATAATGATTATTTTTCTTGTTATGGTGGGTGGGAGATTGGACGAGGGGAAAAGGGTATTTGGGTGTGACAGCAAGGTTCCAAAAAGAGGGAAGAAAAGAGAAACACAAACGATAGAACAAAAAGGCAAAGGCAACCAAAAAAAGAACAAAGGAAACGTATAAGGTCATGTTACACTTCCAAGCAAAAGGCCATTGGAATCTCTATGGAGTTTTCGGAAGTAAGAAAGAAAGGAAGTACTTTAAATTGGCTCCCCCCTCTCGAAAGATATGCAAAAGTCAGAAGTTTAAGGGCTTCTTTTCGCAAAGGAGCAAAGGCATTGGTTCTTCAGCTGGCCTGGGGCACGCATGTCCATTGTTTTGCCACCCTTTGGCTCAATTAGCTTAGCTTTGCTCTTGCTTTGCATTGGCTTTATCAGGGTCCAAACTTCCTTTAGTAGATGACAAAACTTTTGTGCTTGGGCATATAGCTGGCTAAGGTCCAAGTCGCCCATCTGTGTTCAAAGGGAAAATAAAGGTTTGACTTGTATAGTGCAAATGGGGCCAATCTCCTACTCCCTTTTGTCTTTCTCTCCCCTCGCTGATAAAAGAATTGCCATCTAGGCGGTAGCATGGTCCATGAAATCGTAACGTATCGGCGGTTCAACCATGAAATATCAGTATTGAAAGCTAAACCGATAGACGGTATTTAACGGTATTAACAGTTGAACTACAATTAAGCCACGATTTTACTATAAAATACCATACCGTTAACGTTCCCGGTATGGTCTCCGGTACGGTTTCATTGACCATGGTTGAAAGGAATTAAAGGGAGAGGACGCATTTAGAGGCAGCATTATGTCCTTTAACTTTGACTAATTAGGGTTTGTTTCAATGTGTGATTGAGGTAAAGTTGTGTATGGAGAATGAGGAGATGCTAAAATATGATAAATTGTTGTCATTTTCTAGTCGTTGAATCTAGGTTTAGGAGAATGTTGTAGCACTTTTTAATATTATCTTACTATATGTATAATGATTGATATTATAACCTTAGACTAAATATTGAGGGCAATTGATAGTGACGAAGCCATAAATAAATATAAACAAGGGGGAGTTAAGGAATCTATGCTCATGAGAATTTGAAAGAGCAAGAGGGGCTAAAGGCTTACCAATCACTATATTTCTCAAGTTTATTACAAATTTTACATGATTGTAACAGTTGGGAGAGGTTACAGCCTTCTAGTGGGGTCGGTTAGCATGCTAACCCCCTTAGGGGTTGGAAAAATGACACCCCCTAGTATATTAAATACAACTATAGAATTTAATACACACATTAAATACACATTAGGAATTAAATGTACCATATTAATTAGGAATTCTCTCACTATTAAATACACATTAGGAATTAAATACACACATTAGGAATTCTCTCACTATATTTTATTTTTCCTTTTTCAGCAGTCTCCGACCACCAGACTTCCTCCGGCCGCCACACTTCTCCGGTGAAAATCCCATCGGCAGACTCCCTCTGACCACCTCCAAAAAATATACCGCTGCACTGATACGTTGTACCACTGTACTGGTAGATATACCACTGCACTGGTAGCGATATCAGTGCACTGGTAGCAATGTCATATCTGAGTATCAGTGCAGTGGTACAAATACCAATAAAGTGGTAATTAATGTGGTGTATTTAATGGTTACTTTGTATTTAATAACAGAACATTTATTATGTTTACTTTCATTAATACTTGTCAATAATTAATGAAAAATTGACCAATTAAAAGGGGGTGTCAAAAAACCAACCCCTTAAAGGGTTAGCATGCTAACCCGTGCCCCTTCTAGTGGCTTCGCCATCGACAGTTGAAGCCCTTTCTAAACTGCAGAGAGCTCCACCAATACTTTATCGAATGATTATTTTTTTATGGATACTTTATCGAATGATTGTTATCCATTAAATTGGGCGTGAAGAATTCAACTTGTTGTGATAGATTCAACAACAAAACCGAAAACTTGTATCGTTGTCTTCACACACTCACTTTCTCGTGTAAAGATCAACTCACTCTTTTGATATTTTGTATAAAGTTATTATATCACGTATTTTGAAACAAATAACTAATACTGAAATTATAAAATTCAACCATTCTTTTATCAAAACTCCATATCATAATCATTGCCTAAAACTGATTTTCACTCTCACTTTATCTCGTACCCAAATGATTATCCCTGACTTCTTTTTTTTATTCCTATGAATGCGCTTTTGCCTAATTTTGATGTTAACTGTTAATGGGGCCATCCTTAATCCTTATCTGAATGCCATGTATTTTAAAAAGACAGTAAAAATAGCAGATGAGGGTTTCGAAATTCGAGGCCTTAATGGGACTATGGAAATTAATATAGTTGTCGGTTTTGTGGTCCTAGGCAAAGGCTGCTCTGCCCTTAGTTTCAAACTTTTGCTGGATTATTTTTGTGGACTCTTTTCTTGTATTTGCATATACCCTATAGTTGTGAAGAATCAATTTTTGGGCCTCCTTTTATGTAGGGCGTGGACATCGGTTGATTCGGTCAAGAACCAGATCAAATTCGAATAGGACCAAACGAAAAAAATGGAGGAAAGACGAAGACAAGAACTTGATGCAAATCACGTTTGGTCCGCTTCGATTCACGTTCAGTTGCAATATTGGTCCACTTTTTCATTTTATATTTTAGGTAAGTCGTAGAATCAAAAACCGAATCAAATTATACTATGTCCAATTCGATTCGATCCTAGTATCTCAAGAAATTCGTCAACTCTTGAATTGATTTATCGCAGTTCTAGTAAGAGTTTAGAGTCACATCTTGAAACATTATGCCAAAGTGACAAATGATCTCAATGTATCGCGTATTTTATAAAAGTCAATTTATATCTAAGAATATGATTAATCTACATACAAGCAGGCTTTGGACCCAATGCTTTGGCTTACCCAATGATATGCCATGTCATTCCTAACAAAATAAAATATTATGGGCAATTTCTAATGTCTCAAATAAATCGAATTTTTCCCCATTATTGGTATATAACATCTCTTTCAATCATTCCATGATTCTTCTTGAAATTCCCTCGAGCAACAATGGCCAGCTCTAAACCAATAATATAGATTGCTCCAATGCCACTTCGTACCAATCACAACTGCCTAAAGTAATTGTTTTTTCTATTAGCCGTTGAACTTTTCGCTTCATTGTGGTAGGCACGTTTGAGCGATCCAATGGAGTAAGCAACGAAGCATATCCATGGGAAGTTTTTTCGTTGAAACCTCAGCTGCCTGCCTTTCCTTGTCGAACTCGCTGCTTAAAATTGTGATTTATGGTTGACATTTTCTTGTATTGAGACTATTGCTTTGAATATTTCTTTGTCTTGGAGGCTTGGAGGATGTTGAGGTGGCTTATCGTCTTCGTTGTGAAGTAAAGGAAGCTAATATTATTGCTCGAAAGAATCTCTAATGGTACTTGTTATTTAAGGTCTATATGTTAAACCGTTATGTGTTTGAGTCGTTTTATTGCACATGTTATGAAGTAGAAAAGATGAGAATCATGGTGACTTTTTCTTCAAAATCGGTAAGAACACTTGATTTTAACGTTGTTGGGTCCATTAACAAGATATGATAATATGATCCAATAATTTTTTTGTTGTTGTTGATGTCACTAAATCACTCCAAATAGAGGAAAGATTCGAGTTACAGAAGAAACAAACGACACATGTGATATAATAATTGCATTACCATGTGACACCTTAACCATCAAACAAACCCGAACTTCTAAACAGATCGAGATGAAGAAAAAATAAGCCGTGTCTACCGAGCCCCTATTAAAAGGAGATGCATCCCGCAGGGCTAGGATCCAATTTCAGAAGGCCTAGTTCAGATGTTCAGATGAAAGGGCGGCCCATCAATGTGGCCTGGCAAAGTGTACTGGACATTTTTTTTTTTTGGGTACATAAAGTATACTGGGCTTGCTTCATACTAATTGTCATTGGACTTTATCAACGCAAACACAGCCCATCATTCTCATATTTACTAGTAGGTTTGGGCCAAGCGACACATAGAGCCCAGTCTGGAACTCGAGCATATTCCCAGAGCATGTTCTGTTGAAAGTTGTGGGATTCTCAACCAAGGTTGAAAACGAAGGCGGATATTCGCTTCAATTATGTACCCTTTTTCTGATTCTTCTCAGGCTAGAGATCAGTGAGAAAAATAAGTTGAAGTTTGTCTCTGTATTATCATTTCTCTGAAGAACAGAAGGCCTTCCTGGTAACTGGTAAGTGTCCTTAACTCAGATCGCTTCAGTCCATTATTAGCCGGCGGTCCACTTGGTTCCGACGACTTTTGTTCTTTTCTGTCGGGAAATTTTGCTCGGAGAAGTTGACGGTTGGAACCATGTTTGTGGTTTCTGGAGTCCTTGGTTTGGTCTTTAGTACTTGGGAATCGTTGTTAAGCAATACTTGGTTGCCATCTTAGGACTCTTTATCTTTTGGGGTGTGAATCTATGGTATATGGCTCTCCACTTGCTTGTATGATTTGGAATCTCTCAACAAGGTTAATAGTAAGGGTGGGCATTAGACCGATTCGGTTCGGTATAGAATAGGATCGAATCAAGATAAGATTGTATTTAAATCAAAGAAAAATTGAGTATCAGAATCGGAACAAAAGCATGTTTAGTTTATTTGGTTCATCTCGTTATGATCAAAATCCAATTTTTGTTTACTTTATTTTTATGATATACAGGATCGAAACTGAATTGAAATGTTTTTAATCCGATTCGATTATATACAATCTTGTCCGGTGTAGATCGCATATAATCACCCACCCTAGTTAATAATACATCATACATGGTCTTGACATGTTTCCAGTTTAGGGTAACCACCCAGCATTCTATGGTTACTTGTAGGGGTGATAAACGGTTAGTGGTTAACCGATAACCGCTACTTCCTTATTGGTTTCGGTTAGTAGTATTTTTGTTAGTGGTTAACCGCTAACCGATTAATCGGTTAGCGGTTAACCGATAACCGCCTACTAGTGTGACTACATGGGTTTTTACTTTAGCTAAGGGGAAAAGTTGTAAGATTCAAAACCAATCAAAGTTGCAATTTCAAACATCCCAATTCTCACCTATTGCAAACAACCCTCCATCAAGAGTCTCAAATGTTTTTAAGAGTTAGAACTCGAAAGTCACCCCTCTCTAAATCCCCTTTGCACTCGATAGAGTGAACCTTAGGTTGATGACTATGGGCTAGATGAAGATCTTGGAGTAAATAATGACTATGGGCTAGATGAATTGGAGCGAGATCCTCGGATCATTTAGTTTGATGATTTGGAGATAATGAACTTGTTATTTGTGTCTTGTTGTGATTGTGAATTGTGGTTGAATTGTGGGCATGTAGACTTTATGTTGTGGAGTTGTGGTTGAATTGTGTGGTTGCTTTAGGCTTTATGTTCAATTGATTTAGATGACTTTATGGTGTGTGATTATAGAGGCTGAAACAAAAGCAGGTCACTCAAAATTGAGGGTGAATCATTAAAAAAGGTGGTTGAAATTCGGTTTTGGGTGGTCGGTTTCTGAACAAAAACCGAGAAAGTGAACCAGAACCTGCGGTTTCGGTTAATCGCAAGGGAAAACCGAAACCGATGTTTGCGGTTTTCGGTTAACCGAAGTCTCTGTCGGTTTCGGTTAGTGATCTTGGGACAATTTTGGTTGCGGTTAACCGAGGTTTAACCGCACCGACTAACACCCCTAGTTACTTGTGTGCGAATATGTGAGATGAGATGATTATTTGTGATTTTGTGATGCGTTTTTGCACTAAGTAGATGTACTGATTTAGTGATATACATTATTGACATTTGACAGGACGCAGGAGGTAAATGGGTATGATTGAGCCTGCCCATGAGCCTAATGGGCCGACTTTGCGTTGTGTGTGGACCCCTGTTCCGGCCCATATCAAAAGCGAATGGTCCCAAATCGGACGGCAAACAGAGGAAAAGACGTGGCCCGTCGGGAAAGGACGGAGTTAGCAATCAAGCCGAGCGAGTACGAAACGGAAAGATATGAATTTGCCAAATTGGCAATTGATGTCCCTCGTCTCGAGCCCCTCGAAGTCTGGAACTTCGTCAATTGGGGAAGCGTTTTCATTGGGCCGGAGGAAAGCTTTTCTTTTTATCCTCGACAACACCACTTGCGAGTTGCGCCCCACACCCGTCACTTCTGAGATGAGCTGATTTCCCCAGGTACCCGATATTATATACTTAAATATTTGATTTACTGATTACGATCGAAAGTGCGATTAACTTAATAAATCTTGATTATAAAATGCCATCTTCAAATTAAATTAGGGCAGGTGAGGAAAAACGGGACCAACATTTTGTTGTGACGTGACCACCACAGTCCCCTCTTAATTAAATATATTAATTTCTTTCTTGACAATGTGGGAGGCCTGAGTGCTGAATCTTGATGGAATGTGTTGATTTTAAATGATTTTTTTATATTTTATTAATTAATACCGATTCACGTTGCCAAGTGTCTCGTTTTCCGTTATTCCCAAATCCAGCCGGGCCGGGTTGCCTCCGTCCGCCCCGAACCCGAGGCTCGGACTCGGGCGGGGCGGGCACACTATTATTTTCACACCAATTTCCTTCAGCTAGCTCGCTCTCGCTATTTCAGCGGCTCGCATCTCGTCTCTCTCCCAGCCACTGCTATAATTCCCTTTCAGTTTCTCTCTCTCTCTCTCTCTCTTTCGCTCTGTAATCCCATCCTCCCTTCCTCGTCTCTCCGATCCATGGCGGACCACGTCGGCGACCACGATTCCCTGGTCGATAAGATCACCGAGAAGATCCACGGCCACGACGGATCCTCTTCCTCCTCCTCCTCCTCCGATTCCGACGACGACCGCAAGCCTTCCAAGGTCGATTCCGTCAAATCCAAGATTTACCGCCTCTTCGGCAGGGACAAGCCCGTCCACAAGGTCTTGGGCGGCGGAAAACGTACTCTCCTCTCTCTCCCTCTCTCCCGCTTCGTTTCCTTTCCAATCCTGCGTTTGTCGGTTTCGATCACGTAGTGTACTGTTTTCTTGCATCGGATTGATCGGCGTTTCTTCTGTTATGGCGGTTTTTGAACCGATCGCCTCTGTATATGCTTGCCTAGTGTTTGTTTGGGGCTTATCTTGATCTGATTGCGAGCGGGAGATCGATCTTGTAGAAGGAGGTGGAATTGTACTGTAGGTTTTCATCTGTAATGGATGAGAAGGAAGGATTGACTGAGTTCGTTTAGCTGAACGCGTTGTTTTGCCAAAAAAATATTCTGGATCGTGTTCATTTCAAGGATAATCTCATATGCTTGCCAGGTGATTTAGAGAATAAATGTTATCCGATTGCTAGATAGTACGTAGAATTAGTGCTTTCTGGAGCTCGAAAATTGAATGGGAAGGTGTGATTTAATGCTTTGTTTAGCTTCCTAATTGGTGACTCTCTTGTTTCGTTGTTAAACACAGCTGCTGATGTTCTTCTCTGGAGGAACAAGAAAATTTCAGGAGCAGTGCTCGGTGTTGCAACTGTGATCTGGGTTCTGTTCGAATTGCTTGAGTATCATCTGATCACTCTAGTTTGCCATTTGTCCATAGTAGCTCTGGCTGTCCTCTTCTTGTGGTCCAACGCCTCCTCCTTCATCAACAAGTGTGTGGTGCTGCTTACTTGTATATGTCTTTTATAGTTGTTTGATTTCCTCTGCTTATTGTTTCTTTTGCTGATTTGGAACTGCTCTTCTTTGCATAGGTCGCCGCCACAAATTCCTGAAGTTGTGATCCCTGAGAAGTGCATCCTCGAAGTTGCCTCTGCATTGAGAATCGAGTTCAACCGTGGGTGCACTGTTCTGCGCGAGATTGCATCCGGCAGGGATCTCAAGAAGTTTCTGATTGTAAGTGGTTATGCTTCCTTGGGTTACAAGTTTCGGATCATACGTGGTGTTTTTTACACTCTATTCATTTTTGGCTTCATTGCTTGCCCCAGGTGATTGCTGGCTTGTGGTTTATCTCCATCATCGGGGGTTGCTGCAACTTCTTGACCTTGTTCTACATTGGTAAGCAAACTTACCGACCTCATCACTTTCTTCTCCTGTGCAAGAAGCTTTCATTGGCAATGGTTTGCTGATTCATTTTCCTTTTCTCGATGAATGAAACAGTGTTTGTGTTGCTACACACTCTGCCTGTGCTCTACGAGAAATACGACGACAAGGTTGATGCTTTCGCTGAGAAGGCGATGATCGAGCTGAAGAAGCAGTATGCAGTGTTCAACGAGAAGGTTTTGAGTAAGATCCCTAAAGGGCCATTGAAGGACAAGAAGAAGGATTAGAGAGAGATGACGAGTATGGGTCTTTTGATTGATTGTGTACTTTCAGGGTTCACATTTTTTAGCGACTTAGTTCTGTTATATCCACTGCATTGTCTGGATGCTCCCAAGAATTTAGATGAAGTATCGTAATCGGTTAAAGATATGTCGAGTTCTAGATTCTGTTTTATAGTGCAGAAATAAATTGATAGCGTTTGCATTAGAGAGATTCAATAGAAAGATGAATGATGATTGGTACTGATTAGAGGTGGCAATTGGATTGGATTCGTAGATTCGTGGATTGGATTGGTGGATCCATGGATCAAATTGATTGGATCCAATGGATTGGTGGATTCATGGATTGGATCAAATGGATTGGTGGATTGATCCATGAATCCAAATGACATCCAAGGCTTGGACCAAAATGTAAATTTTAAAAAGTTTAGGTACTAAAATGTCATAACAAAAAAATTTAGGTACCAAAATGTAATTTTCCAATGATTTTTTTCGTATAAAAATATAAATTTTAGGTACCAAAATGTAAAATATAAAAAATATAGGTACCAAATCGTAATTTGCCATTTGGATCCATGGGTTGATCCATGAATCCACTAATCCAATTGGATTTGGATCAAATGGATTGGATTTAAATGGATTGAATTAAGTGGATAATTTGGTGGATGGATTGGATTGGATTCATGGATTTGGATCCTAATTGCCACCTCTAGTACTGATGAATTTGTGACAGTATATTCTTGCTTTGTAGTAAAGTGCTTTCTTTATTAGGTTTTGTTATTTCTCCTTTTAGGCTAAAAAATGCACTTTTGGCAAAATTCATATTGCATCATGTCTACTTTGTTGAGGCATCACACACCATTCATTACACCGTCGCTACGCAACACCAACGCTGTACTAACACCAACGCGAGGTTGGACAAATACTCAGCTTCCACAAGAAGAGAGGTTACACGAACCCGGGATGTCAATCCTTGACGATTTTAATCTAACTGGAAAGGAACTATTACATCTTTTTCAAGATTACAAAGTAATTAAGCATGTCAATCCTTGACGATTTTAATCTAACTGGAAGTGAACTATTACATCCTTTTCAAGATTACAAAGTAATTAAGCTCTTTCGGGACTCCCTGAAGACAGTGTCTGAACAAATGAACAACTTCACTAGGCACTTCTTGGATAGTGAAATGAATACTACACAATGAGAAACTCTGCTACTCCTTAGCCAGATTTCAACCAGTAATGTGCTTCGGGTAAAACCATAAGCTGGACATGAACTCTTCATCCGAGTCACTATCACTGTCCGAGGAAGATAACAGCGACGAACAACCATGCAATAAATAGGCAACAACCTGAAAAGGCAAAGGTTCGGACAGCTTAGCTGAAAGAGGAAAACTCCACGAATAAGAAAGCAAATGCAAATTTAAGCCAACGGCGGACAGTTTCTCGTGTCTTCTTCAGTGAAGTGAAGATGCAGCAATAGACCTGGGAGATTATTACCTGATCAGACGTAATGTGTGTGATTTGTGATTGTTTTGATCTTCCTTGGGTTTCATTACAGCTACAACATTTCATACTATCAAGCCAAACTACTGCTTTGCAGCGGTTGCAGTATCCCCTGTTAGATGCCAGTCGCTTGGAGCAATTGCCTGATTAAGGAAATGAAAAGAAAAGATTGGAGTTCTGCAGAAGTAATCAAATACGATAGAAATTCAGATACATAGCATGCACTGCTAAGCCATTACCACTGTAGGCTCTTTTAAAGGCCTCTTTCCAATCTACACTGGTTCCTTCACCATTTACATTTTCCTGAATAGAGTGTGTACTCTTCTTCGTTTTTCGTCCTATAGAGTCGCTGCTACTACCAAATACTTCAGCATAGTGAGCTTGCCAGAGGAGGTTGTTGTTAGAAGCAACATTCCATGACCTTCACAAATCAACCAGAAGACTCATTAAAGCTGCCACTGGTTTCCCTCGAACAATCCAACTGAAAAAAAGAACCATTACCAGCACACTTTCCCCGCCAAAGCTAAACACTGCGTGTCGAGGAAGCTGAAGACGTGGGCTAATACGTCTTGTGGCAGCTCTGCAGTAGCTGGAAAGAAAGGAAAGGTAAAGGTTTCAATGACACTGGCGAGGCAAAAGATATCACCCAACTCCAGATGAACAACAATATAAACATACTTTCTTCCCTGTGATGAGCCTTCCGTCGCCTCTTCTGAGCAACCTTGGCATGCCTGAATTCCGAGACTGCCAAGTTCTTCTTCTGCTTGGGGAGTGCAGCCTCTGCGCTCTGGCAGAGAAGATGGGCTGCCGAAACAGCACTCTGCATCTCCATCCTGGATTTTCAAATAACCACCCCACGTCATGTTGGAAAACTTGTAAAGCCAATATGATCAAAACCTGCATATGGAAGCATTTGACATCACATTCAACCAGCTTAAACATCATAGCCCCCCAAGAAATTCAACCCAGATCTCTGAACTATCAAACACTCCATTGCACCCAAGAAAAATAAGCCCTAAATCCTCTTGTTCATAATTCACAAAACTCCCCAATAATCCACACAATTGAAGATGAATTGATAAAGGGATTGCACGATTCTGGTTCAATTCTAGCAATTCAATTCATAGGGAAAAGGGCGAAGCAACTTACTGGGGAAGGAGACGAAACGCGGCGAGAGTGTCGTCGAAGATCATGGATTGGAGATTCTTAGGGAGCTTGGGGTAAGCTTCCCTGAGGATCGAGCTGAGCTCCCTGCAGACGATCGGATAGCGGTGGACTTTGGCCAGAGCTTCTCCGTAACCTAGTTCCCTGTATCGGACAACAGGGTTCGACATTTCTGAGCTGCAACTCGGAGATGCGAAGGAAGGCAAAGGGAGAGCAGATCCCATTTTCTGGGAACCGATCAGCGGCCATTGTCTGTTTCGTTCCCGCCACCGCCAGAATTTTGTTGGGCTTTCTTAACGACCTTTGTCTTAAGACATATTGGGACTAGTTGGGTGCTTGTTTGAGCGGGCCGTGCATCTTCAGGCCCATATACGGTGGAGAGATGGTAGTCTCGTAGGGTGTTCAAATGGTTATCATGGTAATTACTAATTACCAAATTAAATAAATCATGTAATATAATACCATAACCAAATCATCTAAACTAATACAACAAACAAATTAATCAAACTAAAGTTTAATCGGTTTGGTTAATTGGTTAACCAGAATAACCAATATACCACCACATTATCATTAAGTGAGGAAAATTCTGGTTAATTCATCAATTGGCAATTAATATAATGAATAAAACATAACAATCAACACATAGTTATTATATAATCCTTAACATAAATACGTGTAACTAGTAATATTATCTTATTGCTCAATTGAAGTATTGACATAACAAAAATATATGTCAATGGTATGAGGTTGATGAATTGTTGTGTTTAGTAAGTTGACTTATTCTCTTAGCAATTATCTTAGGCTAAAAAAGGAGTTCCTTTCAAGTTCTCATCCAACATATTGTATGAGTTTTATCTAAATTAGGAGTCCATATATTATGGTCTACACTCTACAAATACAAATATACAGCAAAGGAACAATATTGAACTTTATTTTTTATGAACCTAATAGGGAGGAACGTTTGACATTTGAGACTTGAGTGGTTATTCAAAGTATTAAGTATGTGTACATAATATTTATGAGATGTATGACTAATTACTTAACTGGCTAATTTGGTTTGATTGGTTAGAAGTGTCTGAAACCAAATCAAACCACCTTAACCAAACAAATTAAAAAAATTAATCACACCAAAACGTTATCCAAATTAACCAAACAAATATCCAAATATTACCGTTAAAATAGTTAGGACTTTGCTACGGTGACATGCATGTCACGGTGACATGCACTTTTCGGTCGACCTCATATAGGATCAGGTCGACCTAATCAGTTGTTTCAGTGTACAAACAGTTTCATGGTGCCTACTTTGGAGATTCATATCTTACAATTGGCTAGATGGAAATTGGAGATTAAAGGCTTGTTTTGAAGCTGAAGTGTCCCTCTACACATTAAAGTACTTGGGAGCTCAATAGAAAGTCCAGAAGACCATTTTTGAACCTGACCAAAAGGCTATGCCAAAACTGGGAAACTGCCTGAAAATGGCTAAGTCTGGCAACGTGTTTGTCAAGCCTACTTTGGAGCTCAATTTGACAAGCATGGATGCGAGTCCAGTCCAGGGGCCTTTACCACGTTAAATTATGTATTTTTTTTATACAAAGGCAAGGCATTGAATGAAAGATTGAATATCTTTAAGGCTTCAAACAAAAGGCTCGAAGTTGCTACGAAGGCTGTTTTTCTGGCAGCTTGCTTGTGCTCGAAGTCTGCCAGAAAAACAGCCTTCGTAGCAACTTCGACCCTTTTGTTTGAAGCCTTAAAGATATCCAATCTTTCATCCAATTCCTTGAATTTGTATAAAAACATACCTAATTTAACGTGGTAGAGGCTCCTGGACTCTACTCGCATTCATGCTTCTCGAATTGAGCTCAAAAATAGGCTTCACAAACACGTTTCCAGACTTAGCCATTTCTAGGCAGTTTTCCAGTTTTGGGATAGCCTTTTGATGAGGTTCAAAAATGGTCTTCTGGACTTCCTATCGAGCTCTCAATCACTTCAATATGTAGAGGGACACTCCAGCTTCAAAACAAGTCATTAGTCTTCAATTTCCATCTAGCCAATTGTATGATATGAATATCCAAAGTAGGCACCATGAACTGTTTTTACACTGAAACAACATATTAGGTCGACCGGATCCTATATGAGGTCGACCGAATCCTAAATGAGGTCGACCGGATCCTATATGAGGGCGACCGAATTCTATATGAGGTCGACCTAATCCTAACTGAGGTCGACCGGAAAGTGCAAGTCACCGTGACATGCATGTCACCGTAGGCACACCCAAATAGTTATCCCAGTAATCATACCGTTTGAACACCCCTACTTGTAGGGAGTGTTTTTAAGACGGTAATGTTACCACTTTTTCTTATCAATATATTGTTCACTTTGTTACTCGGAGAGATTTTATTTTCAATATTGTATGGTATATTTTCAATAAATCCTTTTTTTTATTCCATTTGAACAAGTTTAATTTAAAATTCTCACATAAATTTCTTAATTTCATTCTAAACTGTGTTTTGTTAGTTAAAATTGGGTTGTTCTTTAGGAAAAATGATTTTCATGTGTTTTTTGTCGATGTGAGTAGGATCGGCAAATGAATCGTGGAGGCCTTGGTCTAGAATTGAGATGTAGTCCAAATTAATTTTTAGTATAATAAAATAAATATGAACATAGAATCGTTATTTAAAGCGTAAGCTCTCTTTAGCATTATTTAAAATAAAAGTATCTGTTAGCTCTTTAGTTTTCTTGTGTCGTTTTCTGCCGTTCCCATAACTAATCCATTAAGGTCTTCTTGTTAGGGATGGCAATCAAACCCATGGCCGCGGGTACCCGACCGCCCCATACCCAGTCAACGCGGGGAATCCCCGCTTTGACCGGGTATGGGGCGGGTATGGGTAAAACCCGCAAAAGGTTTGATGGGTATGGGGCGGGTATGGTTTTAGCCTCCCCCGCCCCATACCCATACCCATACCCGCCCCACCAAGAGAATTTCTTCACATATAAAAAAATACGTGGATTAAATTGTAATCTATCAATGATGATGATGATAACTCGAGAAAATAAATAGTAGAAATGCAATTGAGTAACCACCTTAATCAAAACCTAATTCATTTCCCTCAATTCTCCTTCCACTCTTTCACTTTCCCCCTTGTCAACAAAATTATGTTAGTTAATTATTACTTAGTAAATGTATCAAGAGTTAGAGCATAATAATTTAAAAAATATTATAGTCTATATTATGTATTAATGGATGTTTTAGGATCATATTCTTTGAATCGTATTTAGAAAATGACCGTGTTTTGTTGACTTCGTGATATAATAGGTTTGTTTATGGTTATAATTAAAACTTTTCTTGTAAGTTTTAGGTATAATAATGTTGGATATACGGGGATGGGTATTACCCATGTGTACCCGAAACCCACGGGTATGGTGATGGGTTCGCAAAACATTTCCCCGCATGGGTATGGGGCGGGTATGGGTTTGGGTATTTGAAGATGGGGATGGTTTAGGCAAACCCGCCCCAAACCCGCCCCATTGCCATCCCTACTTCTTGTATCATTTTTCAACCAAATAGGATTTTCAGCTCCCAAACAATACTTAAAAAAATCATTACATGTGCCTCGTGTATATGCTCATGAGAATATTGACCAATAACTAACACTTATGTTAATTAGTATAATTAAAGTGATTATTAAACTCATAATCAATTAGTATATATCATATACTAGTAAACCGTAAATACAACCTGTAGTATACGGTCAAATTAACTAATGGACCTAAGTGGAGACCCTTAATATTCGGAGTCCTTGTGCCGGAGGACCTCTCGGCACAGCCTCGTGGCGCCCCTGAATGTGAGATTTGCCTAAAATGTTACATTATAGTATTATACTCACGCGAGCTCAACATCATCATTAAGATGAACGCGAAAAGGCTCTAATATCACTTGTAATATCCTAGCCACTTTTCATGATCAAGATATTGTCTGTTTTGGTTTTATTTTATCCCACTCAATTTTATGTTAATACATTATGACGATTTTTCTCAGAAATAAGTTATCGTTTTACTCCTCTCAGTATATTAAAAATCGCATCTTATAAATTGTAATTGAATCGTTTCTTATAAACGTATTTTCTTCCAAAGAAATTCACCCACCCCTCCTTTTTCAAACTCAATTCTCAATTCCATCCCAATTCAAAAAGAAGAAGGCCCCCAACTGCAGGCGTACGTTACCTCGCTGTCCTCCCACATTCTTCCTTCCGGGTGCTTTCTTCTTCCCCCGCCATCCTCTCTCGGCTTCTATATATATACACACCCACGAAATCAAACGCCTGCAAACCAAAGCTAGCAGAGAGGGAAGAAACGGCTTAGACATCTTTTCTCAATTCCTGCCGCGGACTGGAGCAGATCCTCTCAGTAAGTCAATCCAACCCATCACTCTTCTTCTTCTTCCAATTTCAAGATCTGCATTTGGGTTTTGGGTTGTTACTGTTACCAGTGTCTTGTTCCTTCTCCCGCATCCCCTGAAATGGCTAAACACTGAAATTGGGTCTCTGAATTTAGATTCCAGATCCCGCAATGACACTTGCTTCTCGGCTTTAGCGGATCCATTCTGTCTTTCATTTTTTTTCAATAAGCTTTTGAGATCTATGGATAAAGTCTTCTCCTTTTTCCCTTCCCTGGCATCTCATTGCGGGATCAGGGCTGCTTTGGCAGAACCATGATCTCTGCTTGCATTTCTTACAGTCGGATCTCAACTTCCCCGCTGTGATCTGTTTTTGCATTGGATATTTGATGCGAATTTCATTGCTTTGATTCATTGTCTTGCAGCTAGCTCATTATTCATCACCGCAGCTTTAGTTAACAGCAAATGGGATCTACTGCTGAAGCTGCGACCATGGCGAGTCTCTTTTTTTCTTCTTGTTGTTTACCCTAATTCTGGTTTAGTCGCGTCAATCTTCTATATTCCATGACAAAGAATGATAATGGTAGTCTCAAAGTTTAACCTTCTGGAAAAGGAGATCTCTTACCAGCAAGCGATTCACAAGTCACTCAAATGCAATGCCAAAATATTTTTCCTTCTCCATTCATACTCTTATAATGCCCGTGGATGCTGACGAGTGCTATGTTTAATCTCTTCGATCTTGGGTGTCTGATTGTAGAGCACCCATGGAAGTTTAGCTGAGAAGAAGCCTACTGTTGTTTTTGTGTTGGGTGAGTATATTTTCTTTTCCCGGTTTATGTCCTTACTTAGGTAGTTAGGTTTAATGAGCTGTTGTTCTACTCGGTTCTTTGGATTCTTCAAGTGGACAATTATATGCAAAGCTTAACCTCGTTCCTCTTATGATGAATTCGATGTTACCTGCATCTATATTCTAGTTATTGTCTTCCCTGCTCATCTGCATTGTTGCATTGCATAAGAAATAGTTGGTCAGTAATGTTCTCGATGCATACTTTGTCTTAGAGTGAATAAGAAATACATGGTCAATGATATTATGTACGTGTAATTAGGCTTGATTCTTTGTTTGCCTCGTTAATCTTCGTACTTATAACCCTTGGATTTCTATCTCATTTGGGCTGTGAATTTCCATATGGCTTATAAGGTGGCCCGGGCAGCGGAAAGGGTACACAATGTGCAAATATTGTTGAGCACTTCGGTTATACACATCTTAGTGCAGGGGATCTTCTTCGGGCAGAAATCAAGTCTGGGTCTGAGAATGGGTATGTATGTCGTGCACTAATTTCGCTATTTAAGAAGCTGAATATCTCATTTCTGCATCCCCCCTCCAAATGGAAGTCTCTCTTCCAGTTGTCTGATTTGATGAGCAAATGCTAGTTGTCACCTGCTGGATGTGTTTTTCCTCCAAAACCATGTTTTCCGTTTAATTGGCGCTTATAAATCTTGATTTGCACATTAGGTACCCACGAGTTGCTATTCCTGTGATGTTTTGTAACTGATCTGGTGGTAACTGGATTCATTGGATTCTCAATGTGCTACTAACAGTTAACTGTGGTCCCGCAGCTTGAAACTGTCTAAGTTGCTCGCATTTAACACTGGGAAAAAGCTGTTTCCTCGTCTTGTTCGGATTCTTCTTCAATTACAAATACATCTTTATTTTTTATTATTCTGGATGCTTGAATTGGTGCAATAATATTAAGACTGCTTCTTTTGATTTGCAGAACCATGATCCAGAACATGATTAAGGAGGGAAAGATTGTGCCTTCAGAGGTTACAATTAAGTTCCTCGAGAAAGCAATACTGGGTATTGACAACGACAAATTCCTAATTGATGGTTTCCCTAGGAATGAGGAAAACCGGGCTGCATTTGAAGCTGTGGTAAGACTCTTGCAGAAACCTGTTTCTCACTGATCCAAGTAGATTGATATAATCTTTTGACGAGCGGAATGTTGTGATTATGTAGACAAAAATCGAGCCAGAATTTGTCCTCTTTTTTGATTGTCCAGAAGGAGAGATGGAAAGGCGACTTTTGAGTAGGAACCAGGTTGAGTTAACGTGACGTCATTTTCTCCTGAACAGGCTAATACATTATTAGTCCTTTACTCTCCTTTTCAAACACTCCTGATTTCCTTCCATTTTGTAACAATGAAGGGAAGAGAAGATGATAACATTGAAACTATAAGGAAGCGGTTCAAGGTCTTTCTGGATTCTAGTCTTCCGGTGATTGAGTACTATGCTGCCAAGGGCAAAGTTAAGAAGGTAAATGATTTCACTTCCTGATGTGGTTTAATGTTTATATATTAATTTTATTGAACCTTTATTATTTTCAAGTTAACTCATTGATTTTGTGTGGTTGGCTTTCAGATTGATGCTGCAAAGCCGGTCCAAGAGGTTTTTGAGGCAGTTAAAACCATTTTTACCCCAAAAGATAATAAGGTAAAGCACCACTGTTGTGCTATCTTATAATTCACTAAACATATATGAATGTGTAATTCTGGGAACAAACATCAACCATATATTTGTTAACCTAAAACAAGGCATAAGAAATATAGATCAAACTTTGGTTTTATGTGTTATTGTCCGAATATTCCTCGTCTTAGATGACTTCTTCTAATGGTTTCAATATCTTTCAAGGGGCAGACCTAATGGAATTGGATGCTCAATTCGAACATACCTTAAAAATGAACTATTAGGTGGCCTTGAAAAATCTGTAATGCAACAAGTACTAGTTCTCAGTCGATGATTTTTTTTGCTTGCACATTAGTCAGTGTGGCCGATTTTGGCTAGACGTTGTTATATGACTAAGGTGAAGTAATTCAAAGTAGAAATCGGTATCGAAAGGGTGTAGTGTTAGACCTGGATCAATAAGACCTTCCCTAGGAACATCATTGCTGGAGGAACGCTCTGCAAACGGTGTGCCTGTTTGTGAGTGGTCATGCAAAAGATATAGTTGGGTAATTTGCTAAAAAAAGGTAGATTGGAATTCTTTTGACGAATTTTCTGTATACACTTCTTTCCTGATTGATTCTGGAATCTTTGTTTCTGCAGGCTAAGAATGCCTAAGAGCCTCACAGCAAGTAGAAGGATTTGTCAAACCCAACTACTTCCGAGGTAATTACCTTGTCTCCATCATGCAGTCTGTAAAGTGACTCGTGACAGCGCGAGGGTTCATCAGTACTTGAGCCATATCTGTGTTTCATAGACTGGAATTAACTAAATATGAGGGTTCATCAGTACTTGAGCCATATCTGTGTTTCATAGACTGGAATTAACTAAATATGAATGTGTATTGTTAATTTTCTCGGATGTCCCCGAAGGGACTACGTGTATTGTTAATGGGATGTAATGAATTGGTTTGTTTCTACTTTGCAGGGGATGTTTTTACTACTATACTGGATGAGGAAGCTACATTTTTTTGTTTTTTGTTCGAGTTGCCTATTGCGGCTTGTGTTATTACAGCAGGTTATATCATTATAGTTTTATGGATCCAGTAAAGATGCCATTTAAACCATTGAAGAAAAAGAAAGAACGAATGTTGGAGGTGGTGACACTATCTCCATCCTTATTCTCCTTGCTAGCAAGTAAGAACCGCAGATGGTTTTATTGTAATGAATAAAAATGGGGGATTAGGAGATATATTTATGTTACCTTCTCCTTCTCCCCTTTGCTGCTTTTATTTTCAAAAAATATCTGTAATGTCCCGTTGTCAGCTGATGAATGAATGGCATGTTAGTATTTGAAGTTTATCAATCAATCAGTTGATGGTGGTGAATGGTTTAAGGTCTAGGTGGACTGGTGATTCATTTCTGTTTATGGTCCACAAACTATATTGCCATTTTGAGAAACGTTACTCGACTGAACGCTTGAGCCCAAAATTTCAGCATTAACATCAGCCTGGTGTTTTGTTTCAATGCACCAGATGACCAACTCCATTCTATCTTCACTTAGCCAATTTGGTGATCATAACATTGCTGCAATTTGAGTCAACCATGATAGGACTCCACGACTGCTCGTTGGCTTATTCCGGACTCCCATTGCGATGGCCTTTGCCTGTGTTTCGAATTTTGATCACTCTGCATGTTCCCTTCTCCTTCCTTCCTTGCCAATGCTCCACTGAACATTCCATGGCAGTTCTCTGAAAACACTGGCCAACCCTATCCTATCTGGTTTAAACGGCCAACATCTGTGTTGATCTTGAGGACACCCACAAAGAGGCGATCCCATCTTGATTCTCGGCGGGTCTAGACAAGTGGTTCCTCTAATGTTTTTGGCGCATCAAGATAAGCATATAACCCAGATGAGAGGCTGTGGGAACGATCTCTTGTTCCTCTATTTTCTTGTTTGATGAGAAGATTGTTGCACCTCTCCTTCTAGAAGAGCCAGATGATGGAACTGAATGTTTTCTCTTAATCATATCATCATAGTATAACACCAGCATTCTGCATTCTGCATTCCTACCTCTGAACAACTTAATAGCTGAAGGAAGAACAGAGAAACACTCGTTCTATTTATAAATCAAACAAACTGAATACTTAGAAAACACTATAGAATGATACATACATTATGAACAAGGTGTTTCTGCATTTTCATAGCAGCTTTCCAAAAAAAAAAGAAAAAATGATATGCAAACTAAGCTCTGGATTTTCTTAACTGCCACACACAAACACATATAACTACACTCTACTTAGTAGAAGCCTTGGCAATGGTGGTGGTAGTGGTGGTTACTCTTCTTTACAGCACCGATAACCCTCTCCCCTTCTCCAAGTAATCAGCAATCATTAGGATGTACGGATTTGATGCACACAATTGCCTGTTGCTAGATAGCTCGCTGAGAGATTCTGACTCGCCGTCGCTTCTTGTCTCTGATTGCTCAATGATTCATTCAGAAGCAGTGCTAGAAGTGTGGGTACTATGGAATGTTGGCGTCTTCCTCTAGAAATAATCACATTTTCAGCAAGACCATCTTTTCCCCCAGAAAGAATTCTAGAGTGGTTTAATATATATATATGTGGACTTGGTTGGTGGGGTTTTCTACAATGTCTTTAGAGGAAGTATGAAAGCTGTTGCTTCTTCCTCGAACCTCCTTCTCCGTATAATTCGTTCCATTGTTTTAGCTCGCTCATCACCGATCCCTCAGAGGCAAAACTTGCAGCAACCTGGGAAATTGCAGAGGTTTCCCTTGTTAGATAACGATAAGGATTCGACGCTCAATTGATTGGTTGTTTAAAGCAAGTTGATGGATTACTAACCTGGTTCTTTGCCTGCCTCAGGTCTTCCATGTCCAAGGCTCTAAGGATGATTACTCGGTCCTCTTTAGCTTCTTCCTTGGCTGCATCCGATTCAGAACCATTTTCGGAGCTTGTTGTTGCTTCCTCTGTTGCTTTCTTCTTTTTCTCCTGTTTTGTGGGAGACATAACAGACATAGTTTAATACTGAGGCTAGAGCTTGAACGGCCACTGAGAATTTCTTATAGGTGAGAGAAAGCTGTTACCTTTTCCTTCAATCTCTCCTTCTGTATTAGTTCTCTGACTGGTCGATAAGCAGCTGTGACACACAAGTTCTGTTCATGACAGATAAAACCATATTGAGCAAATTTATTCGTCATGCTATGAAGGCTAAAAACCACAGTATGGTGACAGAACAAGTAAAGTAATTAACCACCTTGAGATCACTTCCACTAAACCCTTCCGTCATTATTGCAAGCTCCTTGAAGTCCAAATCTTCAGTCTTTTCTTTCGACAGTAGAGTTTTCAAGATCATTTCTCTGTTCTCGACACTTGGTAGACCAACCATGATTCTGCAGGACAAGGAATTCCAGGAAATAATGAACACGGGGAAAAAAATTTACAGCGAAAGAAAATGATTAGGTTGCATAAATTCGTCACTAGAAAGACAGCATTACCTGCGCTCGAACCTCCTGATGATCGCTTCATCAAGATCAAAGGGTCGATTAGTAGCAGCAAGGACCAGAATGCGCTCACCAGTCTTTGTCAATAGCCCATCCCAATGTGACATGAATTCATTCTTGATCTTCCTCATCGCCTCATGCTCTCCGACTCTAGTCCTCTGCCCGAGCATGCTGTCAACCTCATCCACAAATATGATAGTAGGAGACACCTTGGCTGCCAGAGTGAACAGAGCTCGTACATTCTTCTCATCTTCACCGAACCACTTCGAAGTTATGGTAGACATCGAAACATTGATGAAACTTGCTCCAGCTTCATTTGCAATGGCCTTTGCCAGCATTGTCTTCCCAGTCCCTGGAGGACCAAACAGCAATATGCCTCTGCAGGGCTTGAGGAGGCCTCCATTGAAGAGATCAGGCCTTCTGAGAGGGAGCATGACCAACTCCTGAAGAGATTCTTTGATTTCCTCTAGTGCACCAATGTCTGCAAATGTAACCCCTATCTCATTTGCAGGGATCACCTCTGGCCTAATCCGTTTTTCAAACTCATTGTCCGGAACTTCCTGTGCAAGAATAAGAAACAAAAGTGAGGGGTATGTTTGGATGATGGATTGTTCAAATGCATAAATTTCTATGAAATTTGTAGAATGTGAGAAGAATAGATTGTAAGAAGCATCAAAGATAGTCATCTCAATTACAGGTGCTTTTTGCGGAGGTGGATTCTCTGCATCTTTCTTCACTGTAGCAGCAGCAGATTTCTCAGCTTCATTCTTGTTTTCAGCTGCACTGGTTTCAGTTTTAGACTCGGTCTTTGCACCAACTTCTCCATTCTAGAACATAAATGAGAGAATGAAATAATTCAGCATGAAATTTTATATCACTACCATCATCAACACTACCCTCAGCCAGTTAAATAAAGTGTGCTATCTGGAATACAAACAAACCTTGCCACCCTCAGCATTTGTCTCCATCTTTAAAATATCTTTCCCACCAGTTTTCCCTTCCTGGAATATGTTCAAACCCTGAGACAAGCTGTTGCACCAGAGAAAGAAATCAATGAGCTCAGGTGAAAGAAAGAATCATGCAACTGAGATAAAAGAGTATCTATATTGTATCTACCTCTTTGCTGAAATAACAAGCCTCCCATTACGATACTCTGGGTCCTTATCGTTCATCAGATGATACGATATAGCAGATACCACTATCTCTTGTATGTAATTGCTCAGTACCACAGTGTCAGCATGGCAAATTGAGCCCAGATCATCGCATTCGATGTCATTTGCTGCAAGCACCTCAGCAATGTGGTTTCTGTTGTCTTGTATCTGAAGCAACTTCATGTCTTCTTCCAGCTGTGCTTTCCAGTTGACAAGATTGGCTTCATCTTCTGGCGGTTTAATGTCGATGCAGTATTGGAACAGTGTCATAAGTCTCTCGTCAATTTCCGCACTGTCTTCTTGGTCCAGTGTTTGGGATCCCAGGATCAGGACTGAACCTGAGATTTTCTTCAGCATTTTGTCGAACAAGACGAACATTCTTTGTGATTGAAGAAGGAGCTTCTCCACATCTCTAACATATAGGATTAAGGGACTTCTTTCTGATACAGTGACCAACACCTGTTAAAAATAAACACCAAGTGTCATTTAGAAAAGTATAGAAAAGTTCCATGCAGTAATGATGGACTGGGACATACTTCGTGTGATATTACCTTGTACAGTGATTGCAGGAAGAGTTTCTCATCAAAGCACCAGCCATTCGTCCTTCTGAGAGAAGCTGGAAGACAAAAAAAGCTCCAATAAGTATGAAGCAATTATCGTATATCAGAACTACCAATAGCTAAGAACTAAGCCTACAATCCAGAGAGCTCTCCGAAGCACAATTTTTTTCAAGTGAAAAGGTGCTTGCGGGTAGAAGTTTCAGCTGAGCAAGCTTTTAGAGAGAATACACTAGTTTGAATGCTCTTAGTGAGAAAGTAAAAGCCTTTTACAACTAGTATTCCTAGAATCAACAGAACGATGGATGTCATCATCAAAATTCAGAGGAGAAACATGATATATAACCTTGATTACTTGCAGGTTGGGAAGAAACGCTACTTATATCAGATGATATGGATGAATTCCTACGGAGCTTCGGGGGATTGCTACCATCCATGCCCCTGAAAGTAGAGAAAGAAACAACGTTAGAACCAACTGACCCTTCCTAATCAACATGGTATCAGAAAAGCACTTGTTTGACATTGGAGAGTTGTTGCAGACAATATGGTACCTCGATGATTTCACATCCGAAGAACTTGCTTGTCGACGTAATGGCCCTGCAAACACACATTGATCACTTGTTTACATAATCCAGCTGATGTTCTTGCATAATTAGGAGGCATTATTGACAGGAAGGAAAAGGTTGTTTGACCAGTTCTACGTAACTAAAAAAGTCAAAGCTAGAGTCTTCTTAGTATGTACCTTGTTTGAACTCTCTTGGAGGAAGCATGGCAAAAGAACCAAGCAAACCAGACATTCCTTCCAAGGCTAGCTCTGATAAAGACTTCTTTAGCGACTACAGAGAAATTAGAACCATTTATCAGATACTCCAAGAGCTCAAACATGTTTGACCATATCAATCACCAATAGCCCAGAAGATGCTTACCGGTTCTTTTTTGGTGCAACCATATTTGTTTAGTAACTGTAGCAGCCCAAACACAAAATTATTAATAAAATTCCTCATGAATTGCCATAAAATTGAAGATTTGATGAACAACAACTGCTTTACCTTAACAGAAAAGTCAGTAGCATCCAACAACAGAAGCTTTGAGTCAAAATGATGTGCTAAAGCTCTAGCAAGCATTTGCTGATACAATTCTACCAGAAATAACAGAACAAAAGACAAATCCCAAATGAGATTGATTATTTCACCATCAACTTGAGAAACACAAACAAAATGAACCAGAAATCTGCATACCAAAAGGTCCAGAGAGCAAGATAGTCCTGCTGGCAGGTGAAAGGTTTCGAGTATGCTTTGAGAAATCAAAGTCCTTCAGATGCACATATGCAGCACTTGTCAACAAAATCCTTGTCCTTTCACTGCCAAAAAGTTAACCCATTTCCCCCATCATTCCAGAAATTCATGGTAAAAAGGTAAAAAGTAAAACTGCAGCCTTGTGAATTACACTTGGCAGGGTAATCAAGGGCCACATAATGAAAAGATTAAAGCTTTGATCTGAATGGAAGAACATAATAATGAGACACAACAAGCTTTTCATTTCCTTTTTACCTTAGAAAATAGGGGAAATCTTCAAAGGTGATCTTGCTATCTCTGCCATCAATGAGCTGCCTCATCAACTCGTGCTCAATTTGTTCAGGTGAGACACCATCTGAAGAGCCATTCCCCACAGTCCATCTGCTAATGCTTTGCCCAGATGCTATCCCAAGCCCAACTCCAACCCCAACTCCCACGCTCAAAGCAGATAGAAGCGCCCTTTTGTTCTCCATTTCACCTTCTTCCCCGTTCTCCACAACCCAAAATGCCAAACTTCAGCTGTGAAATCCCCTCAACAGAAAAAGGAAAACAGAACAAGACCCTTTTCTTCCCCCCACCCAGAACCTCAGAAAAACTGGATGGGATCTCCAGAAATGGCAAAATGGGGAGAACCCAGAAGAGAATCCAGCTAAGGGAGGAGATTGGGAGGATATTCAGCTGGGGACAATGAAATCTTTGGCTACCCCGTTGTGTAATTATTATCACAAGGGGGATGCTAACAATAGAAACAAATGTTTGTTTAAGGGAAGGGGATGAAAGGAGGGAGGGAGGGAGAAGAAGAAGCTTTATTTTGGGACAGGTATGGAGTGTGGGTGGGTGTGGTGCTAGCTGCTAATTGTTGCTAAAATATATATAATGGCGTTTCCTTTGGGGTTAATGGTTGGGTTTTTCTGGCGTGGCCATCGCCTTCCTCCCATCATCAACTATTTATAGCAGTTTTGGCTTCTTTTCCTTTTTCTCTCTTCTCTCTCTCTCGTTCGTTTGTTTCCCTTTGGTTTCTGTAATGGAGGTTTCAGGGCCGCTGGCAGGGAATTGTAGTTGTAGCTTTCTTCACTTCTTCGGTGTTTTTTCTCTTTTCTTTTCGCCTTTTGGACTTGCTCTGACTCAGTGACTCCTTTTCCTTTTCGCTATTTTTCTCCCCCTCTGACCATTTATTGCTTTTTTCCTCAAACAGTTTTGGGCGGTTTTGATTTGTCTCCTCTTTTATCGTTTGGATCGGTTAAATTGATTCGCAATTTCGATTTGAGAATTATCTTCGTTTGAGTGATTTAGGATATGTTTATCTGTGATTTGAGATATTTAGAGAGTCGGATTTTAATCAGCTCGTTGAATTACTCCTACATTGGAGTCATTTACTTTTTTAGTTTCGCTAGTTGGACGGAGAGCCCAATTCGAGAAGGTGCAGTATCGGAGTCATTTACTCCTACATCGGAGGCATTAACTTCCTTATTATCGCAGGACGCATTTGATCGAGAGTGAAATCCTACCGTATAGAATGATCAATGGTGGTGCATAAAGAAGCACTATATGCTATGCGGTCACTGATTTTAGGCACAGTAGTACCACACAACTCAACGAACTCACACCATTAATCCCCCAACACAATAGTATCTGGTCTGATGTTATCATTAATATCTATAACTCTTATACATACCGGACACTCGTTGCTATTCGATTGACTGAACCTAAAAATTCGAGGATACAAGTGTACTCATCAATTTTTGTTGAGATCCATGCCAACAATATCATTAATTATTAATACATTACAACCCTCCAATTGCTAGTAGCATTACTAGGCACTAGTGACTAGTCCATCCATTTTAGAAAATCCCCCACCAGGAAACAAAAGTGAAAGAAAGATTTTGGGGTTAGGTATGAAAACGAAGAACCAAAACATTCTAACAACAATGACAAAACCGAACGCATTGAAAGGGAAAGCCCCGGAAATGGACTTCCCCAACATCTTTGAAAACAACCCTTAGCTTAGCTAGCTAGTAATTTATACATTATTTTTTTACAAGTAGTTCGATTATTTATGGTCTTCACTTTCATCAATAAAATGTGTTGTGTGAAAACTTCATCATGCATACATAATAAATGCACGATGAATTATGAGAACATTTTATTGTAGATACTACTGAACGAAACGAAGGAGTAGGTAACACATATTTGTACCTTGTGCCTTTTGGATGACAAATTTTATTGTACCAAACTACATTGATATATGACAGAAAAAATAACAACAAGAAAAATGTTGTTTCCAAAGGAAGGGATTTGTGTAGATACAATTCAAGCGTCACATATAAAAAATAAAAGAGAAAGTGTCCACTTAACATCATTAGTATGATACATTTTGGAAACGAGTCAATTTTGTTCCGAACGAACTATATCATATTAACGGAGCATCCAGCTTCAACAAAAATAGTATTCTTGTTATGAATAGACAAGATCCAGGCAGTTAACCCTTTTATTTTTCAGTGTTTTACTACTCATTCGTAATATTTATATTTCCACAAAACTCAATCCATTGTTTATGTATATTCATTTATACTTGTACACATAATCTCGTCAATCTTATTTATTGATCAATTAATTTTTCCATACAATCTTACTAATTCAAGTAAATCATTCAAACATTCTTGTTAAACACTTCTTATTTCATAATTTTTAAAATCGTAATCATAACATTTTAACAAAAAAAAAAAAGGTGGGAAAACAAATATTTTTATCCCTAAACAAGACATAGATTTTTCTCCTTGATTTTTCGTTTTTGAATATCACAAATCAAAACTTTGGAAGCGTGGCTGAGGAGTTGACGATGGATTTGCCGATCGGTTTGGTACTTCACACTACTCCCGTCGTGCTTTATAATGGAACGGATTTGCCGATCCGTCGTCGTTTTGCGGGACTTGACTGAGACACGTTTATTTTTTGGGTGCAAGATGGTAGACAGGAGTAATCAATTGTGTCATTCCAACACATCTGTTTCAGAGAGAATATTCTTTGTGATGATCATCTGGTAATTAATCGCTAAGTACGGATCATTAGTCCTTAATCTATGATTATGAGGGATAATTAACGTTGTTATTATATTTTAATATAATTTGGTCAGCACAATTTAATTTGACGCATTGTCGTCTTCTCACTATGTTGAATTCTAATTTCTAACCGTTTGCCAATAGATAGAAGTCCACCACCACTGATAAAATATAATAGATCATTATAAAAAAAAACAATATTTGAGCATTCTTGTGATGAGATACAAGTAGGGATAGCATGGGCGGATATTGAGAGGATTTATCTAAACTATCTTCATCCTTATTTTCAAATATTCAAATATTGAAACAAATATGTGATGTGTGTATTTTGTTTATAATATATTTGAGAAAATATTTGATGGGATGGGTATGGGTATGGGATGGAGGAGGCTGAAACCATATTCGTTTTATCTCATCAAATTTTTAGCCAGTTTTACCCACTCGCCCTATACGCAGTCAATGGAGGAATTCCCTACGTTGCCTGTGTCGGGGGCGGTCTGGTACACGTGATCATGGATTTGATTGTCATTCCTACATAAAAGACATCGTCAGTCGATTGGGCTCGACTTCAATTCACTTTTATGGCCAGATGAGTAACCACACAGCATACGTCATGGCTCATAGCGCATATGGTTGAGACTAGCAGGAACTTCAGCCTGTTTGGATTGACAAAAAAGTAAGGAATTGGAATTCCATTTCCATATATTATGTTTGGAATAATAAAAAGGTTGAGAATTGAATTCCAATGGGTCTAAAATATGGGAATTACAATTCCTATCAAAAGTGATAGGAATTGAGAGAATGAAGATGGAATTAGTGGGACCCATCAATACTTTTTATTATTTTGTTGACCCACTATCATTTTACTCTCTTTCTCTTCCATTCATATTTCATTTCCCAAAATAAAACAAATATATTACATTATTCATTATGGTTAAAAGTGCAATTCATTTCCATAGTTGTAGAAATTATACCAAACACTAGAATTGGAAATGGAATTCTATAAAAATAAAAAATTGAATTCCATTTCCATTTCCATTTCTTCCGGAATTGTATCCAAACAGGCTGTTTGGGTTTCGAGGCTCCCTATCTTTCTAGGTTCTCAGCTCATATTGAAACACTGTACTATTTCACACTAATGAAATAGTAGAAGCTTTAAATATAAAAAAATAAATGCTATAAAGGGCTCAGGATGGAGTGCATACCACATCATAACTAAATCTCAGTTGTTAAATCAATTTAATGACCTTCCTATCTTACCTTTTCAATACCTTCTTTCTCAATTGAATTACATCCATTTCATTTTAACTCACATTTAAAAGAAGTACATAAAAATAATAAAACGTATCAATTGTATCTACACAATAAAATTCATTTTCATATAATAACCTGAAGAAATAAAGTTGGGCCAATTTTGCGAGTGTAATAAAACGATGTTACTGTTAGAAACCGAATTATCTAGGGTTTCTATATTTATTATTTTAATTATTATTAGGGTAAGTCTTATTAAGGTTAGTAGTCATTTAATAGAATTAGGTTTATTGTTAGGGTTTTCCAGTCTTTCGTTATAAATATGTACTTTGCGTTTTATTCAGGATCAGTCAATAAAGAATTATCAAAGAATCTCCTAAACCCTAATCTCCCTATCCTCTCAATTCTCGATCTCAATCCCTCTAAAGGCCTAGGCCGATTCTCTTCTGTTCTTCCCCAATTCTTTCCCAAATCCCTAATTCTATCTTCTCAATCCCTAAATTCCCAAATATCACCCAATTCAAATCCCGTTAGAAACTTTGTTTCTAACAGTTACAGACAGTGGCGCAGCCAAATTTTTGAATGAGGTGGTATGATTTGAATTTTATTTAGATTTTTTAGAACGACCCTAACATATTTTCATACTTCCAAAAGTTTCTAAAACACAATTCGCATCCTCAAGTTTGAAGTGGAAGAATAAACTTCAATGATTTAGGATTTAGAAAGTGGAAAATAAAAAATTAGAGGATATACATGTGAAATTTGTAACATTAGTTAATACCACATCAATTCGACAGAGCGATTATGCCCCAATGCCTAAATCAGATTATGCACTTGATTCGCTCTCGTGAAATCGTTATATGGTTGGTGTCTTGGTGCATGGTTATAGTTTAATTGGTTGGATTAATGAATTACTTTTAACCTAAGGGGAATAGCTAGCTAGGAAAGAGTGATGCTTACAAATAACAAATAAATAAACACATGTGTGATGTGTCCCACCACATTTTGTTCATATAATAAATCAGGGCATACATGTTATGGTTCCTTTGAGGCCAAGCAAGCGATTGATTGGTGAAAAAGCTAATTATTATTATCAGAACACATGTTTTACTTTAACGGACGGGGGAGACTTAAGCTTTTTGCATGCTTCGCCTAAAGATAGCTGCCTCAAATAGGAAAGCCCTCCAACTTCGATATTAGCCCACTAATTTGGACATGAACAAACTCGAATTATGGATGGAAGTAAGTGATTGGTTTACGAACAATAAGAGATGCATCGTTGATGTAACAATTCAATGCTAAAGATCACTCCATCAATAAAGGTTAATCTATTAGTCGTGAAAGTCAAGTTCACATACATACGTATATATGACGAATATCGAATGTAGGGAGTGATAGAGGAACTTTATTGATGCCTCGACGACTCGCGAAAATATCTCTGTCCATGCATAGAGTGCGAATCAAGGCTAATTCCTAACTCGATGGAGTGATCAAGAAGGAAAGGTCATAATGGGGGCATGCAACTAATTACACTTTTAAGCTTAAAGGGTTAGCTAATCTTAGACCGTGCTGGTTTGTTTTCAAGTGAAAATCTGCCCCTTTGTTTGACGAGGCAAAAAGGGGAGGCTTTTGTGCATAAAAGAGAGAGAGAGGAGAAAAAGGCGTTCTTTCCCGCATAAAAGTTAGTAAGC